TAATCGGCAGGGGTGATTGGTATCGATATATAATTACCCGGCTAGTAATCGATATATATCGGTCTATTTTTTTTGCTAATGTTTTTCTCTTTACTATTACAAGCTTTCTTTTTACTTTGGCTTGTCTGAATTGCCTGAATTGCTGCTGCACTATTGGTGCAAATTTCTACTGAGGACTTACAAGGAGCTATAAGCAGAGCTATCCAGATAGCACCAAGTTTGCTCTTGTAGACAATGGCCAGTCTTTTATAGTACCATGAAAGTTAGCTAGTGGTTGTCTTTTGGATTTTTCTCTGTCTTCTCCAAAGACCACCCAGCCAAGCCCTATTTTCCTTGTCTTAGGTTCTTCTGTTGGATTGAGCAGAGAGCCGTCAGTATAGAAAACAATACGTTTTTTTTCTATAAGCTGTGCTGCAGCTTTTTCAATTTCTTCTGAAGTCTGTGTATCCTCTAGAGCTTGACCAATTATCTCAATTTCCAATGGGTGTATAATGATGTCATTCAGCTGTGATTCTTGTATAACCTCTATACTCGTTGTTGATGCCCTGTTGTATAGGTTTGCGCTTGTTAAGCAGCTTATCAGTACGCACAACACCCCTGTTTGTTCTTGCAAGTTGACCTTTTCTATAAATTTAGAGCAAATTGTGAAGGCTTGCTTCTTTTTACTTTTCTGACACAGTGGCCTTCTGAACTTGTGTCTGCTGCTGGACTTTGATTACAGCCTTTATACTTGACGAGTTTAGTTAAATTCTCTTGAGTACCTGTAATGGGCTTCCAGTGCTCAACTAAGACAGTTTTTTTTTCTCTTTTTTTCTAAACATTCCCTACTTTGACAATATCTTTGGCTTTATACAGTATCCATTCCTTTTTTCTTTTGTCTTGACTTATCAGTAAGTTATCTACTTTCGGAGATAGGTAGTTGGGTGTCTTCGCCTTAAACTCTGGTTTAACTTGTCTACTGTTTAGGTCAATAAGCACTTTTTCCTCTATTTTTCTAAACCAGATAGGGGTTTTCCTGGAGGCTTTTCATCTCTTGCATTTTTTGATCTGTTTTCATGCAAGCATCTTATCTTCTGTATTGTCTAGGACCTGCTCAAGTACTATGATGCCTATCTCTTTTTCTTGTATAAAGCTCACTATTTTTTTTCCCTTCAGAAGATCAATGATTTTTATGCATGCTTCTACTAGTTTTAGGTTTTCTTCCCATTTATTCGATCTTATACTTAAATTCATTTTCTTGGCCTCAAGAAGGATTTTATAAGTGAGGTTGTGTTTAAGATAAACTTTTTTTTGCCTATCAAGCTTGATGCTTGTTATACACTTTGTGCTTTTGCAGTCTATTTGTGTCTGTTGGATTCTAATCCAAGTTACTCTGCCAATCTCGCTATTACTATTGATTCTTTTTCTTAGCTCTGTCACATGATATGCCATCTGGTTTTGCCAAATTGTTCTAAAGCCCGCTATGTTTCTGTGAGCCAAGATTACATTTGCTGTTATGTTTGCTAGATCTGATTTGTTTTTGATGAGTTTTAGCAAGGGCTCTGTAGCCTGTTGCATTGATTTCTTGATATTATACAATGTTGTATTTGGTACTCCAGCCTTGGGATCAGTACCCTGTTATTGATATAGATTAGCTGTACGAGTGTTGTATTCTTTTTATATATTGCCTTAATAATCATTTGGATTTCTTTTTTTACAATGTCTATTATATGTACGTAGTTGTTTTTTCTAAATAGCCATATACCCAGAAATTTTGTTGCCTCATTTGCTTTCTTTTCAACTATTTTTTCTCCTGAAGACCCTATTTCTATACACCTTGGTTTGTTTGTCTTTTTGTCACCTATTATTAATAGTTCTGATTTTTTACTATTAATTTTTATATCATTTATTTTGTAGAATTCTTGTGCGATACTGATAATCTCCTCCAACTTTTCTTTGCTTGATGCAACAAATATAGTGTTATCTGCGTAGGCTATGACTGGAATATTTAGCTGTTGGAGGTAGGTGCTATTTCTACTAAGATCTTTGGGCCAATGAACTTCTAGATTGTATTCTCGTTTATTACAACTTTGTATCTCTACTAGCAGGGGGTCGTAAAATATCCTCCAGACTAGGAGTGAAATTACCTCCTCTTGGTCTATGCTGTCTTCTGCTATGAATCTCTTTGTTGTGCCCACACTTGTCAATACTTCCATTTCACAGTTGTTATAGAGATTGATAATAAATCTTGTTAGTGTGTCTGGTATCCTAATTCTTTGTAGTGCCAGCTTTAGCATCTTCAGCTCTATAGAGTTGAATGCTTTTTTCATATCTTGAAACATCAACCAAAGCTCCTTCTTTTTCTCTCTTGCTTCTTCCATGAGACAGTTGATTAGGTGTACTAGTGCTGCTATACCTTCTTTAGAAAGGCCTGCGAAGTTTCTTCCTTTAAGCACTTTCCTTTTTTTTATAATTTTCGCTAGTCTGTTCATTACAACTCTTACGACCATTTTTCTGAAAGATTCCAAGAGTAATATTGGCTATAAATTGTTCAGGTTGAAACACCAGTCTTCTGTTTTAGGTATAGGATACAACATACTTAGCTTCCACTTTTTTGGCATTTTGCCTTTTCCAATACATCTAGAGGTGAACTTTATAAAAATCTGGTTTGTGTCTAAGTTTATATTTCTGATTAGTGGGTATGTAATGTCTATTGTACTCAGGGCTAACTTGGCCTTGACCTGTTTCAGAGCCTGTTCTCATTCGGTTAGGCTGATTGTGTTTAACGTATTTTTGTACCAGGTCTCCTCAATATATTCTCTTGGGGCATATTGATTTCTCCACCTAGCTGATATTTCCTCTAGCTGTGCTGTGTTTCTTTTATGGAACTGCTTTTCAAAATGTTTATGAGTATCTTTAAGTAACTTTTCTGGCTCATATACTACCGTATTTTTCGGCAAATAATACCCCGGGTTTCTTATATTCCTAAAAGCAAAATCTTGATTAGTACCTGGTGGGTACTTTGTCAGGTGGCAGGTATTTTATATGGGGAGTTTATGTAAGGTGAATACTTTAATTGACTAATCATTTAATAGAATTATAACGAAATTGAAAAAAAAGATATAAAAGAAGTCATGCACTATATAAATTACATCCTAGATATACCTGGGTCTTTTACAATAATGTTTGTAATAAATACTTGATTAATTCTAGGTACAAATCGTGGGGGTACACTAAAAAGGATGTACTATTTGCCGAAAAATACAGTAATTCTGCTTTGCCCTCTACCTCTTTGACTATTCTGTCTATTTTGATTTGTCTATGAGGATGACTTAAAAGGCTATTTAGCATCTTTTGCTAATTGGATACTATAAAGCTGTGTGAGCGTATTAATAATATCTATCTTATCACCCTCCTGTAGTGTCTCTTTTTTTAATTTGCAGTACCTCTTGTTGCATGTTTTGACTGCTAACCTAATTGCCTTTAGCTTTCTACTTTCTCTACTAATTTGCTGTATCTCGGGTCTTTTACTTTTCCTTGGAAGGTTTTTATTAACTGCTAATCGAATACACTTTTCTATAATGTCCCACTCATCATTTATACCTTTTGGTTTGTGTTTGCGCCAACGCTCTTTAAGTTTTTTCTCCAGATCTTCTTTGTATAAACTCCAGTCTTCTTTTGATACCTTGTCTAGGTACAAGTTTACTCTTTTATGGTTTTTCTGTTTTAACTTTGCTGGGGTAGTTTTTCTTAGCTCTAACTCTGTAACAATGCTTGCCCGTATAAGCTTGTAGTCACTCATCGTATATAGGTCCATATCATCTACTTTAGAGCTAATTATATTTTGCTTCCAAATACTAGAAACCCAAATATAGTTGATTTTTGATTCACTAATACTGTTCGACCATGTAGGTATTTGTGAGGCTTTTTGTATATTATATAAATTCTTTTCTTCTAGTAAGGCCAAAATTTTCTGTTTCAATTTACTTTTGGAGTTTGTATTGCTGGAGGAGGCGTTTTCTTCCAAACTGCCTGTGCTAACATTCAGATCTCCTAAAATTACGAACCGCTGAGGTTTTTAGCTTGGTTTCTTCAACGTTTTTCTTAACCTGTTTAAAATCTCTTCTTGTATTATTTTGTCACTTGGAGCAATATATACAAACACTATCACTATAGAAAGGCTTTTGAAATTGAGAGAAAGCTTTAGAAAGTACAGGCTATCCCGATTAAGCTGTGTGATGTGTTGTTTCCAATGTTTCTTGATTCACACCCCAAGGCCTAATCATTTCTTCTTATTTTTCTCTGCACTTGCTCAAAAACTTTTATATACCTCAATGTCCTTAGTTGCAAGAGTGCCTTCTGTATTATTAATATTAGTTTCTCTTAGACCCAAGATATCTATTTTTTCCCCCTTCTGCATAGTTTATAACCGCTCTCAGTTTGTTTTTATTGTTCTTTTAGGAGCTTCTTTTTCCCTAGAATACTCTCTGCTAGCTCTCTTTCTTTACTCATGTATATCCCAGAGTTACAGTCAAACCTCTCTAAATAAATGCAAGACCTCTCTAAATGCACGATCTTGCTGTGGCTCTACTATATATATACTTATAGATTTTTACCCCTCTAAATGCAATACCTCTCTAAATGCAGAATTTTTTGTGGTTTGTACACAGTGCACTTATGAAGGGTTGACTGTATTCATTAATTTGCTTTTGGCACCTTTTTTAGAAGTGGTCTGCTAGGGAGTTCCTAGTAGAAGGGGTACTGAGAAGCACTTTCTGATTCTTAAGTTTGTCAAGTCTATTCAAAATTTGCAACAACATGTTGTGAATTGAGTTGTTGTCTGCCTGGTCTCTATTCTCTATGCGTTTCATTCTATTCTAGTCTTTGACTGCTTGGTTCTCTTTGTCATAACTATACTTCTCAGGCTGGTTCTCATATTCTGCTAAATTTAATCTGTTGTTGCTACTTTTCTCTTTAAGTACTCTATTCCACTTAGGTCTTCTATCTTCTAAGTTTGATATATCTAGGTCTTCTCTTTTTCTTTTGGTTTCCGAGTTGTAAGCACCTTTCAATTCTTCTTTTTGCTTTCCCTCTTTGTGGCCAGTAGCTTTCTCGACTAAGTTTTCTTTATGCGGCTGGCTGTCTAAGCGGCTTTTATTCTCATACTCCTCTGTGAGTATTTGCCACTTTAGTCTAGTATCAAAGTAATAGAGACTTGCTTCTTGGGCCTGAACCATATTTTCTTTTGATTTAAAATAAATATGTGCCCTTCTGTTGCAATTGCCATGCCGATTGTCTAGAGTGTGGACTGTCTGTACTTTGTATTTTTTTCAACTGTCATAGTAGTAAACTGTCATATGCTGTTCTTGGGACATTAAAAATTATACTTCTAAATCTGTTTCTTTCTGCCAGTTCTGCATGATTGAATTTACCGGGTATTATACTGTAAGTCTTTCTTTGGTCTAATGAACTGACCAGCTCTCCTTTAATGCATTTCCTCAGCTTTCTATATTTGACACCATTTTAATGTATGCTGCTTTTGTATAAGAGCTATGCTGCCAGACTAATATTGTTGTGTTGCTGAGCCAAAGAATTCTAGATATCTCTTGATCTCATTTCTGCTTATATATTTTGGGAGATCCTAGAGTGTGAAAAAATAATTAAACTTGACAGCGTTTGTTTTGGATACAAGTTTCTTTTCAGTGCCCAGGCTGAGCTTTATATATTCTCATGTCTTTTAGGCCTCTTGTTATGCTTTTTTTTTTTGGAGTTGTTATATGCCTCTTTTGCAATTTGCTCTTCAAGGCCATAATCTGTAATACTGCATTCGCTTTGCACAAGAGCTTCTATTTTAGTTTTATAGCTGTTCTCTGCTATATTGTTACTGTTCTCATGTTTTGCGAAGCTTCTTTTGCATGTACTATCGTAGTTTTCTTCCAATGTGTTATTTTTGGTGCTAGTCTCCAATGTGGTTGGATTTGTATAGCTAACTTCCATTAGAGTTGCTATGAGGTCTCTATTGATATCCCTCTTTTGGGAGTTATCTTCTGCAGTATTGTATCTGAGAAGGCATTTTTCTTCACTGGATATTTCCTGTTCTCTTATCTCTTTATGCCAGGCCCAGCTGTGTATATGTAGTACATTGTGAATAATTGCAATTAGATATGGATTCTCTGTATTTAAATATTCTGCAACCTGTTTGTCTTCTTTTAATAATGTTGCATATTATTCATTGTACAGTGCTAGTTTTTCCTCATTAGTTTTTTTAAAGAAATTTTTGTATTTCTCAAGCTCCAGCATCTTCTTCACTTTAAATTCACGTGATATATGTTGTACTTGGCTGTTTGTCACGTTTTATTGCTTAAACTTTAATGTTTGGCTTTGGTACAAATTGTACGTGATTTTATGTGTTTTTCATATATTGTTACATGTAAAATCTATATTTTAGCTTGTGTGCTGTTGTGTGACTTTGTTTGTTGTACTTGTGCTACTTCACTACAGGGTTAGCGCTATTTTCCCAAAGTTATTAGCGTGAAGAGAGAGGTTTTTTTTTGTGTCAAAGTAGTAATTTGTGTCGTCCTTTACACTTTAATGTTGCTATATTATATTGTTTTGCTGAACTATCTAACTCCTTGTAACTGTATACTGTTGTTTATAGTAGGCCCAATAATGTCTTGCTCGAGTTTTAATACCGAATAGCCAACTTTTTACTACCGTTTATACTTTTTTGTTTTTTTGTTTTACTGTTATTATACTTGTTGCTAGCTAGGTTGCCTTTTACAAGCTCTTTTTATATGAAATAGCATTCAATATAGTATTTATTGCTGTGTTTTGGCATAGTATTGACTTTTATCTCTCTGCTGCTTTTGTGTCGAGTAATCGTCGGAGAGAGTTGTCGTTGAGTTTTCCTTTTATTTCATTTTTGTTTTTTTTTTGTTTTTTGTTGGTAGTTCTTCTACCTAGGAGGCTAGAAGAAGAAAATTGGAAAAGAAGATGTTATAACTAGTGTGTAAAATTCAAATATTTTCACAAAAACATCTATATAATAGATTTTGAAATTTTTTTATGTTCTCATATAAGTATAACCTAAAATTTTTATGTTCTCAGAGAATATTGAGAACATTGAATTTCACATACTAGTTATGATGAGCTGGTGAACCAGATTAGTAATCTGGGAAAAGGTTGATTGAAGTAAAGTAAGCTAAACCTAACCAGGGAGATTGAACTCTTTTTTGGCAGGTCATACATAAATCCAATTGGAAACCAGGTAAGCCACATTCCAGATTTTTTGCTATAAAGCATGATGTAATTTGGACAAATCTTTCAGGAAATGTAGTACCTTATCAATAAAGCAGGTATGTGATATAGCTGTCAAATTTTTTTTTAAAAAAAAAAATAATAATATTTTATACTAACTTTTTCACAAATACTAATCTATAAATACTATATAGTTAATATATTTATATATAACAAAACTTTACTAAGTAGTTTCTGGATTTAAAAGTTGCAAATTGTATATAAGTATTATGAAAATAATAGCTTTTTGTAGATTTGGCTTTTTGGTAGAAGTCTATAAAGCTATAAAACTATTAGCTTTGGCAACAACCAAAAAAGTTTTTATCAAGCTATATTTAAGCAATACAGTCAAACCTCTCTAAATGCAACCTCCATAAATACAAGACCTCTTTAAATGCACAGTCTTGCTGTGGCTCTACTATATATATACTTATAGATTTTTACCTTTCTAAATACAATACCTCTCTAAATGCAAGGTTTTTTGTGGTCTATACGCAGTGTACTTATGGAGGGTTGACTGTAGTGAAAATAATAGCTTGGTTAAATATACTATTCTATATAATGTAAGCTTTTACAAGTTTTTAAAAAACATATACAGTCAACTCTCTATAAGCGCACTGCGTACAGATCACAAAAAATCTTGCATTTAGAGAAGTATTGCATTTAGGGAGGTAAAAATCTATAAGTATATATATCCCTTAAGCTGTAGAGTTTGTATAACAATTTTAGCTTAAAAATAGTATAAATTTAGTTATAATCTATTTTTTTTAATATTTAAAATATTTAAATAAAAT